CAAACCTCTACATGGTATGCTTTCAAATTCATTATTAACATTGAAAAAGAAGAAAAGAAAATGCATTACTGAAAGTTGTGGACCAACAACAGCACACAGAGAAACTGTTCTGGAAGAATACAGAAATTACTGTTAATTTTAAATTGGATCCATTATTCCGAAAATAACATATCATGGAGCAACTAATAAAGAGATTAACCACCAAGACAATTATTTCACAGGTGAATTGAATAATAATGACTTTTTTTTTGGATGATAGAACTGAGCCAGAGCTTGATAGTTGTTACATAGAATTTTCAGAATACTTATTTTTAAAAGACTGTATTTTTGTAAGTCACTGATTTTAATAGCCTTCTGAAGTTTAGATTCCAATATTTATTTCAACTCTTCATGAAACCGGGAAGCTTTTGAATTGCAGGTACAATACAGATTTCAATCCTTTAGACTTCACCACAGATTTGGGTGAGGAAGATACAGTATACTGCAGAAACTGAAAACCACAACTGGAAACATATATCTACGTTAAAGCATAATCTGTCAAATGAACCTTGGATGCACATCCATTCCTAACTTACTATGTGGAAACTTTTTTTTTTTTTTTGTAGGAGGAGGAGGTGGAGTAATGACAGCAAAAAAAATAAAGAAACATACACTTTTAATCACAGGTCAGCTCAGTTAATTATGGTAGAAAATCAATACAGATTAATTGGCTTTTATTGCTGATATATTTTATATATTTTTACAACATTGAAGACAACTACCCACTGGTCTACACATGTAAAGACGGATTTGGAGTTTAAATAACTTTACGGTATTTAGTTTTGTCTTTTTGTAATGACAGTTCAGGTGGAAACAGTTAGAGACCTGCTACCCTACCTGGATTGTCATAAATCCATAGGGCCAGTTGGGATCCATCCAAGGGTGCTGAGGGAGTTCGCGGATGCGGTTACTGGGCTGCTTTCCATCATCTATCAGTGGTCTTGGTCATCTGGAGAGATCCTGGATGACTGGAGACTTGCTAAGGTGACATCCATCTATAAGAAGGGTCATAAGTAGGACCCAGGGAACAACAGGCCTGTCAGCCTGACCTTGGTGCCAGAAAAGGTGATGGAACAGGTCATCTTGAATGCAATCACACCATGTATGTGGGACAACTGTGGGATTAGGCCCACTCAGCATGGGTTCATGAAAGGGAAGTCCTGCCTGACCAACCTCATCTCTTTCTATGTCCAGATGACCCGCATGGTGGATGAGGGAAAGCCTGTTTATGTAGTCTACTTAGACTTCAGCAAGGCCTTTGACACGGTCTACCAGAGAATTCTTCTGGAGAAGCTGGCAGCCCATGGCTTGGACAGGTATACTCTTTGCTGGGTTAAAAACCGTCTGCATGGCCAGGCCCAGAGAGTGGTGGTGAACGGAGTGAAATCCAGCTGGCAACCAGTCACCAGTGGTGCTCCCCAGGGGTCAGTGTTGGGGCCTGTCCTCTTTAATATCTTTATCTTGGATGAGCAAATTGAGTGCACCCTCAGTAAGTTTGCAGATGACACCAAGCTGGGGGGAAGCGTTGATCTGCCAGAGGGCAGGAAGGCCCTGCAGGGGGACCTGGACAGGACGGGTCGATGGGCAGAGGCCAATGGGATGAGATTCAACATGGCCAATTGCCAGGTCCTGCACTTGGGCCACAACAACCCCATGCAGCGCTACAGGCTTGGGGGAGAATGGCTCAAAAGTTGTGCAGAGGAGAAGGATCCGGGGGTGCTGATTGATGCTGAACATGAGTCGGCAGTGTGCCCAGATGGCCAAGAAGGCCAACGGCATCCTGGCTTGTGTCAGGAATAGTGTAGCCAGCGGGACCAAGGAGGTGATCGTCCCCCCTGAAGTCTGCTCTGGTGAGGCCACACCTTGAGTATTGTGTTCAGCTTTGGGCCCCTCACTACAAGAAGGACATTGAGGCCCTCAAATGTGTCCAGAGAAGGGCTATGAAGCTGCAGAAGGGCCTGGAACACAAGTCCTATGAGGAGTGGCTGAGGGAACTGGGGTTGTTTGGTCTGGAGAAGCAGAGGCTCAGGGGAGACCTTACTGCTCTCCACAGCTACATGAAAAGAAGTTGCAGGGAGCTGAGGGTCAGCCTCTTCTCACAGGTAACTAGCGATAGGACAAGAGAGAATGGCGTCAAGTTGTGCCAGGGGAGGTTTAGGTTAGAAATTAGGAGACATTTCTTCTCAGAAAGAGTAGTCAGACAATGGAATGGATTGCCCAGGGAGGTGGTGGCGTCACTGTCCCTGGGGGTGTTCAAGGAAAGGTTGGACCTGGCACTTCGGGACATGGTTTAGTGGGTGACATTGATAGTGGGGTGATGGTTGGACCAGATGATCTTGGAGGTCTTTTCCAACTTTAATGATTCTATTATTATATTTTTATTGTTTTTCCACATGAACACTACTTTTCAGAGGATTTTATCAGGACTGACAGATAAAGCTCACATTATCTATTTAAAGAACTGAATGATCAGGCATAATATAATCTGATTTCTTGTATACACACACTAAGACTTGCAAATCTCTGTTTTAGTTCAGCTTCTCTTCAAAAGTTCTGGGAATACCTGGTATTCTATACCGTGATTTGGATATGTGTCATTTCTGGGTATCAGTTTAGTCAAGGACAAGCTAATAAAAGTGCGATCCTATGGTGATAATCAACCTTCAGGTATTATTGATTAATCATAAAGAAACCTTGTCCAAGAAGATATTCATCTTTATATCTCTATTGATTGTAACTGTTTCTTCCAATTGCTGACCTACTTACTATAACATTACCATTTCACTTAGATTACTGAAAGGCACTTTATTGAGACTACATTGTACACCAACAAGAAAAGGAATGTGAACTGCATCAGAATACAGATCTCTTATCAGCTCATTTATCTTTCCTTAATTGTCAGCAGAAGCCTTCCATGCAAGATCTTCATAAAGGAAGCTTCGTAGTGGGATTCATTTTCCACTCATATCATGTAAGAATCTAGATTTGTTGAGCTATAGAAATGATTACAAAATCATACTCTGATCAGGCAGACACAGCTAGGTGAGGCTGATCAAGTTTAATACCTGGTGTTGGCCAAAAAGCTCCCATTCTTTGTTTCCATACATTTATGTAAATAAAATAAAATTTAAAAAAGGCAACTAACCAACCAAAAACAGTGTATGTGTTTTAACTATAAACCTAGATTGTAAATGAAGCACGGCTCAGCTGGTCCAGTGTTCAGACAGGTCATCTGAGGAACATTAACTCCAGCTGGTTTTGAAAGTAATTATAAATTCAGAACTTCAGATGGGAGAAAGGTTTTTATCATGAAAGGGGGTCAGACATGCAAAAATTTGAAATTTGTGTGGATAAAGATGATTAGTAGATATGTTAACACATCTTTTGATGGAAGAAATTTTAAATGGATATGGTATTTATTTAAACATAATAAAGTAACCAAAATAAATGTGATAGATATAATAATTAATATTAAAATACTTTAATGGAATTACTGAGATCTATTTTTAGTGTCACTGAGTTTCAGACAGGCACATTTAAAAGGATCTGGTAAATCTACGTAGGAACTAGTTAATTAGTGAACATTACATTTCAGAAGGGATGGACAATTCAGTCTGAAATTGTTCAAAGCAAAATAGCAGCAACAGTAAGTAATTTGGAAAATATGAGGAAAGGTTAAGAGTCAATCAGCAGAAAAACAAGAGCGCACTCTGGAAATACGTAAATTGGTCTCATTAAGCAGACAGGGATTAGAACATTCACTAGTCAAGACAAAATAAATAAAAAATGTTGAATTTAAGCAATGGAAATGAAAAAATAAACATTAGGGAAGATTATACAGTACAGCAGCTTTTAGCTCGGGGGTAAATGGTGAAATCAAAAGTAGAAGTCAGAGCTAAATTAGCAGCCTTATATTGTCTGCTCAGACATAACCTGCCTGTGTGACAGCAGTCTGCTTTACTAATTAGAGAATAATCGCAATAAAGAATGCCAAAAAAGTATCAGCTAGCTTTGTTTTAGAAGCGGGCATAAGCTCCCTGGGCAGATTGTTGAATGATTTTGCATTGAACAATTTATATGGTTCCAGTGACATTTTATAGTTCAAGTAACAGTGTATGTAATATGGTGCATATTTTTTCCTTTTCTAGCAGACACAGAGCTCGCTTGTTGAGCAAGGCCTCGCTGTGGCGTTGAGCAGCAGCACGCCAGCTGCCCAGGCCTGCTGCTCTGCTCGTCTCGCCTCAGCCTCCTCACAGGATGTTTGGGTCTTTCACCACGGCCATGGTAAAACCAATAAAAACCGACACAAGGATTCTGATTCACACTTTATTTTCTGATTCACTCCACTCTTGGTGATCCCCTGTTACGGGGATCCCACAAAGGGCGCCAAGCCTGGCCCCACCCGCTCCAGTGTTGTCCCGCCGCCATGATGCCCCCGCCGCCATTGCCGCGGCCGTTACGGGCCCACCCCCACCATGGCCAGACAGAGCAGGCCGCGCCCCCTTCCGATTGGTCAGAACGCGCGGCACACCGCGCAGCCCTATTGGCCAGCGGGGCTGTCACTCAACCTCGGGGGCGGGCCGCCGCCTTCCGTTGCCTGTCCCCGTTGCGGCTGCGCGGCCGTTAGGCGGTGGGCGCGCAGGCTGCGGCCCGTCCGCGCTCCGCCCCGGCGCGTCACGTGACGCGGGCTCAGTGTTTACATTCGAAGCGGGCGCCCCCGCGCCGCCTCCACCCCCCCGCTCCCCTCCCCTCCCACCCCTCCCTCCCTCGGGGCCGCGCGCGCCGCCCGGCGGTGCCCGTTTCGCTTTCACTTCCGGGCGGCCGAGGGCGAGCAGCGGAGGCGCGGAGCCGCCCGCAGCGCCCCCCCCCACCCCCCACCTCAGCACGGCCCCGGCCCCGGCCCGCCCCTCCGCGGCCCCACCCCCGCAGTGAACTGAGGTTCCCCTTCCCCTCCCCCGCCCGGCGCACACACACACACACCACACACACACCGAGCCTTCCTCCGTCTCCTCCTCCTCCTCCTCTTCTCCCCCCCCCCCCCCCTCCTCCTTCTCCTCCTGCGCCGAGGCAGAGAAAGGGAAGGGCAGGGAGGAGGCGCCGGGCCTGGCTCTACCCGCCCCGAGCCGCCGCCGCACAACATGGAGGAGCTGGTGGTGGAGGTGCGGGGCTCCAACGGGGCCTTCTACAAGGTACCGGCTGCTCGCGGCCCGCCCGGGCCTCCGCGGAGGGAGCGGGGCCGGGAGGAGGAGGGGGAGGAGGAGGCGGCGGCTCCTCCCCGCGCTGAGGGAAAGCGGGGGCCCCGGGGCAGGGAGGAGGAGGAGGAGGAGGAAGGACAGCGGGGCTGGGGGGGGGGAGAGGGGGGAGGCCGCGGCGAGGCCCGCGCCGTGTGCGAGGGGAGGGGGCCACGGTTGGGGGCTCGTTGGGCCCGGCCGGGGAGGGGGGAGGCCGCGAGAGGCCCCCGGAGGCCTAGGAGGCCGCGGGCCTCCCCTATTGTGGGGAGGGGAAAAGGCGGAGGTGGGGGGGGGGAGGCCGGGAGGGCCCCGGGCCTGGTCTCCGTGGCGCCGAGGCCGGGCCCGGGCCGTTAGCGGTGAGCTCCGCGGCCGCTCCGGGCCCGTTAGGTGCGGCGCCGGGCCCGGAGGCCGCCCGCAGGGCTCAGCGGCGCGGCTGGGGACGTCGCCTGCGGATATTAAAGAGCGTTGCTGGACCAAAAATGCGTGTGCTGAGTCGCTGAGTGCTTTTATTTATCTAACGTGCGTCTTACCGGCGCTGCTCGGTAGCGTTCCGTGTTTATTCCCAAGCCCTTGCGCTGAATAAAGCCGTCACCGAGTCCTCCATATACACCCCGAGCACTTAACGCCTTTATGAATACCGCGTAGTGCTGCTAATTAAGGGCCTGTTAATTAATAGGGTGTGCGCTGTGCTTTTACACTGTGCACAGAAAATCAAAGTTTGAACACTGGGTTTGGGCCTACCCTCACTGGCACGTGCACCTGTTATGAACGTACCAGAAACTGTCATGGATCAGTTTCCACAAGTTTACCATCATTTAGGTGCTGTAGTACTTTAAAATATGGGCCCAGCTATTGAGCGACATCCAATATTTATGTTAGCAATGAAGGCACAGATAGAATTTCACACTCTGATGGTAGTGTGGCAGGGCAGGTTGGTATCCAAATTGTAGACTTCCAACACCGTTGAGTTGTTGGCTTTCTTCCTTTTTCTGTTTCAAAGAAAATGAAGAAATTTATTTTTTTTTAAATCCATAAGATAATTTCATATTCTGGAAAGATCCTAAGATAAAGAAAAAGGTAAGTATGAGAAGTTTGTAAATATGGTACACAGAGCATCCTGTGGGTTTACAGTGTTGCAGTCAGGGTCCTGGATCTATATATTGCTTCCTGGAATTAAATTTATTTAGCACTTAACAGAAATCAGTTCTAATTTTTTGAAGATGCAGTATTTGCTCATGAAGAAATACAAGGTATAATATGTCGCTTGAGAGAATTTCTGACAAGGCTTTTATCAAATTTTATGACTATATTTACACAAAATAGATGATAAAAATGATACTGTACATGCTTTAGTGGTCAATATTGTTAAAGAAACTTGGGCCAAACTGAAAGCTTCTGGAACTTTTTTTTGCGATGTTCAGTTTTGATGTCATGATGTCCTTTTTCCCTGCCCTCCATAAAATACCCAACATATTTCTGGTTGTAGTTTAGGTAGCAATCTCAGATGAGCGTATTGATACTCACAGGGATTTATTCGTTATGTTTTAGTGTGGTTTAATGTATCCAAGTACGCATAGACATTGCGTCCACAGTGCACATTATGTTTCTAAAAGTTAAAACTTTAAAACTTTTAGAAATTCAGATACAATAATTTTTTTTTTTGGTCTCTTAAACTTACCTAACCGTGAGGAGTTGGCTAAATTATCTAAGGGGACTTAACTGGGGCTCTTAATGAGTACTACCTGCCTAGATGCAGCATCAAACTTGAGATAAATGGAGCAACGGATTATTTTAAGCTAAAAATTAAGAAATCTTATGCAGTAATATTCAGCATACATAAGCAATTTTCTTCTAGCCTGAATTACTTAAATAAAAGATTTGCAACTGGAATTCATCATAATCTTTAGGTATCACACTGTTAGTAAGTAATTTGTTAGAATATTTTCTTGTGAGTTTTATGCCTGTCTCGCAGATCCAGAATTTGATTATAAAATGAATTGATTGATCCAGCATAACAAGAAGTGTTATGATGTTAAATGCAGATTTAATGGCAAGATTTTATTTATTTTTGTTGAAGTTTTCTTTAAGCAGCTTCCTGAGAAATGTTTAGTGTTATTGTTGTAAAACAAATAAAACATTTTATATTCCATCTCATGGTTTATTGATACTTAGTTTCATTGGCTCTGAATCGTTCTGATGATCTTCATTAGAATATATATGTGTTTTGTAACAACTCCTACATCCTGATACTAGGACGTGGAGGGGAAGAATATAAGGCTGCTGGAGTTGTGAAGGTACTATGTGATAGAAATAGGTACCTAACAGCCACCTGAGGTTTTCATAGCCTTTTTGTAACTCTCTGTTAAGACCTTATGATTTCAAGTCCCTAAACAGTTTCATTTTTGAGTGTTCCCAGCAGCATCTTGATCTTGAAAGTATAAAACTGGTGTCTAATTGGCACCTAAGCTCTACTGAGAGCCATGAACCAGGCTTTTCTCTGCTTGTGTTACCTGTGGGACTTGATCCAGAGTACATGCTGAGATGCATCTGAAGGGATCATGTTCTGCACAGAACCCAAGAGATGGTTTTGATACCTCAGGAGGTAGAGCATGCATTCAGCGTGTGGAAGATGTTAATTCACGTTTCATACTGGTCAGGTGCGTTGCTTCACAGAGTTCTGGAATGCTTTGGTTTGATTGCTGCAGTGGAGACTGGTTCTTCATGTATGCATTAATACATTAACTAATTCAAATATTTGGTGAATGCATCACAATTTAATGAACTTTTTCTCCTTACCTGCGTGAACTATTCCATGGAAAGTGCAGTCAGTAAGCATGATTCAGGAATAGTCAGTAATCCAGTATCTAGAGATGCTTAGTCATGACTTGATAGATCGCGTGGCCCAGAATCCCTGGAAAGAAAAGATTAAATCCCCTTATTTATTTTAAGAATAGTCCAACAAACAGCCAGGGCTGCAAATCCTAAGGGGAGAGAACTGCTCTTTCGGAGCGCACAGCTAAGTAACTAAACCTTGAAGACGTGTGCTGTTAGGGCATATCTTTTCACATCTTGTTGGTTAGTATGGTGTGGTAAATGGGTTTTTTAAGCTCTTGTTCTCAGAGGACAAATAGACAGTCCCTTGTCTAATCTTTCAAGCACTAGCTTTAGATACTTTTCCTCTGTAAAGGGGCATGTGCTGGATGCTTTTCCAGCATGGGATTTTTTTACTCTCCCCAGCTTGGGAGTGATTCTCTTGTATCCTGCTAGAGATGGAAAGCATCCTGTTTGAGGCAGATTGCTTCACATATTTGTTTTTAACATCTACATGTTCTCTGTAATCAAGTTTTTCCACTTCTTGCTCTATAACCTTGTTAAAATATTCAAATTCTTATCCTAGTATCTTCAGTGTTCTGCCATGGTTTCGTTAGTTTTCTAGATATTTCACTTTTCTGTTGAAGCTGCAATTGACGAAATCATTCATCTTTGTTCTTCTTCACTACATGTCTATGTTAACGACTGTACTCAGGGCCTCCCTTTGCATTCCATACCATTTTTTTTTTTTTTGCTTTCACTGCTTCACACAGATGTACCCTCAGCAAATAACTATTTTCAGTCTCTTTGTATAGTCTTAATCATGTCTGCTCAGTCCTTCTGAGGATGATAGCCTGTACCATTTTTCCTGATCTTGTCATTTCTGTGACTTTTCTTATTTCCTAGTCTGCTTGTTTGTATGGCGGTATGCCTGTTCTCAGATTTGGTAGCCATCCTTCCTTCTAACAGGTACAAAATGGTTCACAACTGTTAGGCAAACAGTAGATGCACATTTGTATAAACATAACACTTTCATCTTAGAGCATTTTTTCCCTGTTTTAACTTAAAATGTTATTATCCTCTGTTATTAAAAAGTTTGACACTACTTGCATCTAATGTAAGACAAAAAAAAAATCAAAACACTTTGTGGCAGCTAGTGCCTTTTTGTTCTTTTGAAGTTTCTGTCATGCCATTTAGCACAAAAATAACAAATACACTGCAATTTCCAGAAATTCTCATTTTGTATCTAAACATTCATACAATTTAGACCACATCTTTGGCATATAACTGTTCTTACAGTATGAATGGTCATGTGAGGAAGACCATAACATGCCATTGTTTGATTATAATCTCTTTTACTTAATTATGTCTGAAGCATGGAGATAAATGCTAATGGCTAATGTGACTGAAAGTCAAATTTGGTGTAGGAAACTTACCACACTCGTATCTTTCACATCAGAGAGGAACAAGCAGATTTGGTCGTTGTTTATGTGTACAAAAGTACACTTTGCAAAAGGAAACCTCTTGGTGATTTGTTTTTCTAATGTATTCTTATTTGGTACAACTGTTAGTGATACCACAGCTGCTGTAGTCATTCAGTGTCCTGCTTTCTCATTTGAGTTCCATCTGATTTCAGCGTGTCTTTAATGTGTTGTTTTTTTCCCCGTGTATGTGTTCATGTTTATCACAGCCAGTGTTCTGTCCCTTCTTGAGTGTGCCTTTCAAGCCCAAATATATGCATCTTTGGGTTTAAATTTCAATGCCTAACTTGTACTCTTTATTTCCAGAAAGCCTGGTGAATGCTTGTTGTGCTTTTCGTAATACTCTGTGTGAAATCAGTGGCTCTTCTCTGCCTTCAGTGACGTCTGGGACTAGCTTGTCCTGTTACTGTGAATTTGGCTTGTGATGTTAATGGTCTGTCACTTCTTTTTAGCTTTGTGTATAGTATTATGAGTACCAAGAATATAGAATACAAAATACAATTGTGTTAAGTTTTAGTTTTCATAATGCATTAATAGTTGAGTTTTTTTTACAGGTTCTTATAAAATTTAGAAATGTTTTGAGGCATTTAAATTTATACTTAGAAATGTAGAAAGGCTTAAGTGTTCAAACTTAAATGTACAAATTAATTTTACTTACTAGAGATATTAAATTCTTATACCTGTGAAAAATAGAAATAATTCTATATGGACTTGGAAAAATGTTCTGGCCAAGGTGTATCTGAGGTTTTTTTTCCTGTGTCACAAGATTGTAACTGCAGAACAAGGAAAACTGGCTTTCTGTGATTAGTTGGGATTAGGCAACAGTGTATCTGGGCTATTAATGTATTTTGTCTGGTTAATTGTTTTGTAAGCATAAAATTCATTATGAAAGTAGCAGAAGTGTTGTATACTTGAAATGAGGTACTTTGCAAGGTATCCCTCTCCTCATAAGATCAGCAAGGCTGGAAAATAAAGAGCAAATAACAGTGTTATGACATCAACTTCTTTGGCCAGGCTGGAGCAAAAGCAGGTACTCCCATCTATGAACTCTGTGTAAATCAAAGAAACTGTCAATTTTATTATATCCACTATTGATAATCTGTATTGATGCTACTTGGGTATGGTCAACAGGCATCCTCAGTGTTCCTGGTTCAGGTGTCTTTTTGGTTTTGGGTTGAGACCAAAGCAATGTCGAAGTCATTCTTTTTCCTTAAGAGGAGCTTTTGTAGTAGCTGGAAAGTGATAAAACGCTATAATAATAAATTTGTAAACATTTGCACAGTGTTGGAATCCTCTTCAGCCTAATGGCTGAGGGACTGTCCCTCAGTCCCTGTGTCTATCACAGCAAAGGAATGATAAAAGCTCTGCGTCTGCTGTACTAGACCTTCAGCCTTTAAATTGGGCCATGCTGCAAGTTTAAGGCAAGGATTGCCCATAGTTAAATACTCTTTTAATTAGCTGTATTTTACATTTTCCAGATTTTTAAAGTATTATAATGTTTAAAGGTGTTAGGTAAGTCTTCAGTTTGGTAACATTTGTTTGTGTCACCATCTGGTTTAGTTATTAATGGTAGTCTTTAGCATTAATCCCCCCAGTTGGTTACATTGCTGTGCTCAGTAGGTTCTACTCAAGATGGTTTGGTTTGTGAGGTCAGGATATGAGGTGTAGTCTTGCCTTTTACTGCTATGCTGGTGCATTTCTTTGTCATATCCCATAATTTTTGCAGAGTGTAATTTGGAGCATATTTTGGTGTTTTCATTACCATAGAGGGGATGACTTCTCCAAAAGCATCCTTCAGAACTGCAGCAATTTTTGCTATTTTGTGAATATGAGAAAATTAGGCATGAAGAAGGTATGTCTCAAGACATTGTACTGTGTTACTCTTACCCAACTTCCCTTGAGGCTTTTCAGCACTCCTGGTGGCATTTCTGTAGGATTTGCTTTGTAAAATAACCTCTGCTTTTGCATACTGAAATGGTACTAATAATACTAAGTTCTGTCTTTTCCATTCCGTGGCGTGAAAGACTAATGCCAAATATTTGGTAGTGATCACAATATTTTTTCAGGTATTAAAGGCATCCATTTCTGCTGCATCCATAAGAATAGGTACTTCAGAGCTGCACATGACCAAACACTGGAAGAAATGTGGGAAGAGCCTTCGGAAGTCATGTGTAATGTTGCAAAACAAGTCAGGACTATCTTAGTATTTGTGAAGTGCATATTCTGTTCTGGGTTCCTCTTACAGAGGAGACAGCAATATAAAACAGTAGATAAGTGTCCGGGGGTCATAATGATCAACTGGGAGTTCTGTTGCCTTTTTATATAAAGAGTATTTCTGTTCTACTATCAACATGATGCAGAGATACAGTTTTAGATCTACTTTGTATTACATCATTTCATAAAATACCAGCTACATTTGTAATCTCCTTAGAAGGAATATCTTGGAACTTCAAAATAAGTAATTACCTAAGTTCTGTTAAATCCATCTCTAAATCTTAGGGCTTCTTGAATAAATTTCCTTTGGATGCTAGTGGTAATAAACTTTCCTGTAATTTCATTTACAGTATTGAGAGAGATGAGCCAGGTATAAAACACACTTTTGCTGTTGTCCTTGTAACTTGGCTTTGACTTCTGCTCAAGGTGGCATTAGTTATTTTCAAATTATCATTTTACTGCATGTCTCTCAGTGCACTTCTAGATGTGTACTTGTGCACACATACTGCTTAATTTCATTACATCGGGTACTGCTCATTTGATTCCACAAGTTACTTCTGCAACTTAGCAAATGCTTGGAAATACTTCATAAAGGAAAGTCTTGGGAGAAGATTTTTAACCACTTAAACTCCATACCTAGCGAATTTTTACCTTCGTGTAATATGCCAGTCATTTTTGTCTTAGTAACTTGAAATGGGAGGAGAATGAAAAGCTCTGTAGTTCAGTAGTTACAATTTCTAAAAGAAGTTAGTTACTGGTAAGTTATTTCCAACTTACTGAGAATTTTTAGATCTGCTAAGACACATTTCCATTGGTAGAACAAACTTCCATAGTCTCTCTTGCTAGTGCGCTTTCACCTACCAAGCAAGGGCATGATATATATAATATACATTTATAAATGGACAAGTACCAGTGGGATGCTTAGCACTTTGCCAGTGTCTGTCTGTTTTAGCAGTTTGTAAAAGTATTTTAAAAAGGAACTAACTGCAATCTTTTCAGCCCTGGTTGCTCTGTGACCTCTATAATTTGAGGCTGTGAAAAATAATTTCATTAGTGAATCCCAAAGCTCTTCAAGTAGTGCCTCATTCTTGCTGTTCTGTAGATGGGGAAGTTTGGGCATAAAGATGAGAGTTGATTAAAGGTCGATCAGCTGAGTAGCGTAACTGTGGAAAAGCACTTGGGGTTGAGTCGTAGTTCTGTATTCTGCTTCCTGGTTGTGTAGGAGACAGCACAACTGCTGTCCATCACCCAGAAGGAAAGTGAAGGAAGGCTGCAGGGCATTTAACTCTTGTTTGTGTGCTAAGGAAGTTGAGTGTGATGAAACTAATACTGGGAGAATTGTGCTGGAATGGATATTGGCAAACTTTGCTAGTGTAATGTTGAAGCTTACCTTGAAGTAAAAGAGAAAAAAAGAGGCAGGATTGTTTTCTAGGAGTATTTGTTTTATTTCTACACCATAGTTTCCCTGACAGAAAGCACAAAATGTTCATTATAAAATCAAACATGTTAAAATCAAGTTATAACTCACTATTCAGAATGATCTTGCCATTTGATAGTGACCTTTCTACTTGTTATAAGTAATGGGACAGAATGTATGTATGGCTTGGACGTTGTGTCTGTACACTGGCAGACATGAATACAAGGTAATCAGCATTCCGTATGCATTTTATATAGGACTATTGCAAAATTAAAAAGGCTGAGTCAACACCATACTTATATTTTGAGTTCTGCTAATATTTCTGAAAGGGGAAAAAAAGTTCTAAAATTATTTTAAAAATATATGGATAGGCAGACCATAATTATATCTTTCTTTTCTTCACAGGCATTTGTAAAGGATGTACATGAAGATTCTATAACAGTTGTATTTGAAAACAAGTAAGTATATTGCTGATGTTACACCTAGAAACATTCCCATCTTGAATTTGATGAAACTAAATATAACTTAATAATGATAGAGATTGGCATCTTTTAGTTACTATAGGCTTGCTGCTAGTGTGTTTTAGAATTATGTTTGAGGTGTTTATTATGTTGTGACATTTTCATGTAAATGCTTTTATTCAAATATTTTTAAGTACAAAACTGTTGGTGTGAGATTTCTTAGAAAGATGAGCATATTATTGAACTTACATAATTGCAACTAATGTAAGTAAGCAGTAGTATCATGACTGCTTCTGTCTCATGGGAATATCTTACTTTAATTTACCAAATTACGTTAATACAAAATGTGTTTTACAGATACGTGATAAATGCCTGTCTTCTTAGCTTAAATTTTCCTCATCATTTAAGGGCATTACAAGTTAGCCTTCCATTACACCGTTCAGCTCAGGTTTTCTTTCCTTCAGGAGGTAAACAACATGCTGCTATATACTTTTTCCTGTCAATCTTTATTGCATCGTCTGTGGTTTTGGAAATTGTTTTCTTATTTCTCTAAAAATAAGTTCTTTTTGTCATACTCATTTTATTCAGTCTCTGTTAAAGAACCTGAAAATTCAAATTGAACTCAGACTGATTCCAGATCATGTTTTCATTAGCTATAGATAGAACCAAAGAAACAAGACTTCTTTTGAATGAAGAGTTCAAAAGGGTGATGAAATTTTTTAATTTGTGTTTCTGATGTTGAGAATAAAACCTATGACTGTAAACACAAATCTTCCAGCAGTAGTTTGTACAAAACAGTGCAGGTAGCATCAAGCTATCGTTTAAGCTGCTTAATGATCACTTAATGGGTGTTTCTTCCAAACATTAATTTACCTTTTCTATAGATGTTTGTGTGCACAAGCTCTGCAAAACTCAAATATGAATGGATTTTGAAAGCAGTAATGGTTCTTAAAAAAAAAAAAAAAAGTGAATAGGCCATTCAGCATATTTTTATTTGTAGCTGGCAACCAGAGAGACAAATACCATTCCACGATGTGAGGTTTCCTCCACCTGCAGGCTATAATAAGGATATAAATGAAAGCGATGAAGTAGAGGTACGTATGCTCCATTCTCAGAATTTGATTTGAGAAGTAATAGAACTTGGGGTGGAAAAAATGTCAGCCTAGCCAGTTGTAAGGCTTGCCTACATGTTGCATGGCATCACCTCTTTAATCCCAAGTACTACATAGAATATGATGTCAAGCATGTCATCAAAAGAGATTTTTGCTGTGTTAGGCTGGACTGTACTTCTTTGACTACATTTAATTTTTAACTCTTTAACTACGCAGATGTTTAATAATGTCTATAGGTTAATAAAACTTAAAGCTGAATGAGGAAGATTGTGTTAGATATGTAATACATATGTAATGTATACAAAATACATTTAAATGTAAAAATATAAATGTAAATACTGATGTATATGTAGAGGGAGTCTGACTTAAGTATGACATATTCCTAAAACTTGCCTGCTTTATGAAAAAGTATTTTTTATAATTATTATTAAAAAAGAAGTGAGAACTTGCATTTATATTTCGGCTGCATGCTATTTAAGTTTATTTTGATTTGAAAAATAAGAACATGGCAATTTTTTTCTGTAGATGTGGCCAATTTCATGTATGTGCTACAGTAGTATAGATATACGTCCTCTCCTATCTTCCGTCCCCAACTTGTAAAACCTCTTTGGACTTACACACAATATGCGTTGTTGATTGAATTTAAGCACTGAAGCGATTATTACTGGTAAATCTTAGGTAAAATATTATTTATGATATGATATAGATAAGTTTATATCCTACCTGTACTTGCAGTAGATATTTCAGCTGTTACACGCACACTGTGCAGCGCCCAGGTTGGAGACTTTAAATATCAGTATATCTTGCTGGTTTTCATACATAAGACCTGATGATTATACTGATCAATATCAGCTTTTCTGATGTCTCTTAAGAATGCTGCAAATACATAATATGTATATTTTGTTTAGGTTTATTCCAGGGCAAATGAAAAAGAACCCTGCTGCTGGTGGTTGGCTAAAGTGAGAATGATAAAGGGTGAGGTAGGAATATGCATATGTACATATTTATTTACTTATATAAACTATTTTTTTGTGTTGATTTCTTTTATATTGATGTGCAGTAACATAAGCTTTTCCCTCTTCACTTTCAAGTAACTTCTTGATTAGTACTGTTGCAATTGCCATTAACATCAATGTAAAAAATTCAAATTTGACTTTTAGAGTTAACAAAAGCACCTTTCACTTAATAGTGTTAAGTCTTACTCTTGTCATAAAATGTGTGTCTTGGATGATTTTATTATTTTTATATCAGTTTTACGTAATAGAATATGCAGCCTGTGATGCTACGTACAACGAAATTGTCACAATTGAGCGTTTGAGATCTGTGAACCCCAATAAACCTGCAACAAAAGATACTTTTCATAAAATCAAACTGGAAGTTCCAGAGGATTTAAGGCAAATGTAAGTGCAAGAATTTCTTTATAACTTGCTTCAAAACATGGGTAACTTCTTGAGTGTGAGAAAAGAAGGAATAAAAATGCTTCTTAGTGTTTGAAAGTAATTTCTACAGTTTTCAAGTAAGAATGTAGAAAATAAAAATATGAATGTGATAAGAAGTATAAAAATTATTTTTGAAATGCATCTTATTTCTGCAGGAGGAAATACTTTCTTTAAGGTTTTAAGACTTACATACAGCATAGATTAAAATTTTTATTCATTACAATATGTATTCTTACTTGTATTCTCGTTCAGTGATGTACTCAAACTAATATGAATCCGTTCTTGGTCAACTTTATTGATGATTTGCAAACAGTCACTCTATCAGTGAAAGAGCATTTGACGATCTATCCAAATTGGTATTTAATGACAATAGAAGACTGCCCTGTGTTGTAGGGCATAAGGTATTTTGGTGATAGCATTGGATATTACGCTTTTGGTGATAGCTCAGTTGTGCAATAACAATATCTCCCATAGTATGGTACAGAAACAATGGTTTTTCTCCTTTAATGCTGTCATGTCTTTTCCTTCAAAATATAGCTCTAAAACCATGGATTAATACCATCTCCCCTTGTTTAGCTTCAAATCAATTCTTGCTTTTTTGAGATGCGTTTTATTACTCTGATGTGGAATAAGCTATAAACTCAGATTAAACTCAGTTTCTCAAGGTAATGTTATAGTACACAAGTTCACTAAGTAATGAGTAGACAGAAGAAGTCTAGAGAAGCAAAACGGTGCAAGAGATCACCGTAAGGTCATTAGAATGCTGCAGTGGATGCAGTGAAGTTGTATATACTGGTTCATGGAGTGTTTGAAACTCAAATTTGCTGGATGTGACAATCCTAGTTTTTTTTAATGTGAAGTTTTCCGTAAGTGGTTTGTCATTTCTTAGATGTACATACAGATACATTTTCTGAAAAACAAACAAACAAACAAAAACAAACAAACAAAAAAACACTCATTCTACTGTTTTGAAAACCACTGAAAGTAAAAGGAGTAAATTACGTCAGAATGAATGAATACCTGCATTAAAAGGGAGAACTTGGATATATGATTTTTTTTTTTAGATTCATTGTATTAAGAAAATAATATTTTTTTTGGCCGTGAACCATAAATGCAGCGGTTATTATTTTTAAATATGTATATGTTGCATTTTTATTCTTAGGTGTGCCAAAGAGTCTGCACATAAGGACTTCAAAAAGGCAGTTGGAGCTTTTTCTGTAACATATGATTCTGAAAACCATCAGCTTATTATTTTAGTAAGTATGAACATTTAACTATACCAAATATAGTGTTTTGTTTGAAAGGTACAGATGTAAAACACTGTTTTCTTTGTTAATAATTTAGTCAATCAACGATGTAACAACAAAGCGGGCAAATATGCTGATTGATATGCACTTTCGAAGTCTTCGTACCAAGTTATCCCTGATTTTGAGGAATGAAGAAGCTAGCAAACAGCTGGAGGTATGTTGTTTTTCTCTGAAGTTTTTTTTTTTTTTTTTTTAAAAAAAGAAAACATGGGCACTTACTAGCGGTTAGGATTTGTATGGGGATGAAAGCAATTATCTACTGATGCTATTCTTAGTGTTAAAAAGATGCAGATGAAGATGTAACCCTAACAAAGAGGTTCATAGTTACAGGGCCACTTCTTACAAATAATCATTTTTATCCAACCTTATATCCAGTCCTGCCCATCAACCAGGATCTTGTGTTAAATACAAAGAAGTATATACACATATTTATTTTGCATTTTGAACCATAGAATAGTCACTATGGCATGAATAGTGCTACATACCAAGTAGCTTTTAGTAACTGTTTTTAAAAATAGGTGGAGTGAATATGGCTTGATAGTGAGATGGACTACAACTGAATCTTGCAAAACAAACATAGTGAAAATGAGAGGTGGATCTATAGGAAGGGGTGAGACTGATGTTGGTAGGATGTACAAACGGATTGCTTTGTCTCTAGATAAAATGTTAGGAAATTGTCTTAGAGCAGATACAGCTTCTGATATTCCTGTAACTGGAGAGTGGGTGTTGACTGGCAAGAAGTTTGACTCATACTTGTCCATGGAAAAAAAGGAGTAGGCTAAGAAATCAGAGGATCTTTGTACAGTAGAATTAACATATCTTCATGTTTTTACTCCTATCTACAAATTGGAAAAAAATAGCAACATTTCAAAAAAACTTTTTTTTAGATCCATCAGCAGGAACTAGAAGTACCACCAGAACTATTGTTATTAAAGTTCTACATTGGGTGAATACCAGCTCTGTTATTTTAGAGCCAGATTTTGTTATTCCCACCCCGTGACCCCAACAGGGATTAGACCAGTTTTGGTTTTAGCTTCAAATGGGATGTGGTGTAGTCGTTCAGGACTCTTGTAAGCTGGATACAACAAGTTCTTTCTTACGTTATTCTCATTAGTCTTTTGATTTCTGTATTTGAAAGGTGCGATCCAAGTTTCTTTGGGTCTTTGGTTTCTTGCTGATCTTGAGAAAACCAGTCTCTTCTCATTGGTGTTCCTTCTTGAGCACAATCCATTCTTCTCTGTCTTCCTCCAGAACTGACAATTGTGTGGGTAGTTTACCTCTTGAAGTGCAAAGTATTATTTTGGAGGTGGGAAGAACAACAGCCTTTTTAGAGCTAATTCTCTGTACATGCTCCCACAAATGCATGCACCAGCAGCTGCTGTAATTGATTCCTTTCCCAAACTAATGTGGGATTCTTGCTCTCATTCTAAGTCTGAACCTTTTTTTTTTTTTCCTGCTGTGAAAGACTGGACAACTTGATTTGATTCTGACTGGAAGGCCTTTATTCTACATGAGCAGTATTTAAATTAAGGTTGTTGTGAGAAAAATATGGTTATAATTACCGTGACAAAAGTTGGGAGACATTTTTGATGTTGGCATTTGTTTTCTTGTATGCCGAGAACCATGAAGTCAATTTCAGCTACATTTGAAAAACTTCAGATACTAAAAATCATATTCAGAATTTCTGTTGAAACGCTAATTGACATACAGACTGCACACGTCCATCTTCAGGGGAAACACTTAGTGAATGCTTTGGGCTTTTACTACATTATTATTTGATGGGAACAATGAACCATTAATAAACTCATTTTCATGCCTTTTAATCTGTAAGAGTACTCTTAATCTAAGCTATAATCGCTATACCAGCTTTTTTCCTCCCTTCCCTTTGTTGTATTTTGTACCTTCTTTTCCGCATATTAGCTTCTGACTTATGTGGCCTTCCTTCTCAAATATGGCTTTTAGAGCATCAAGTGAAATGACCAGTTATTTTTCGTTTGCATCCCTTCCTAGTAGGTGTATCTTAGTTGTGTTTTTAATGTTTAAAAAAAAAAGCCCAAATTTGGAAATGTATTCTTGCATTCTGGTTTATATCTTATTCTCTCCGAATGCAATTAAGACATGACCTCTATCTCTCTATTAAAACATTATTTGCATAGTTGTTTCTCATTAATCTGTCCAAAGAAAATAAAGATTTTACTGTGTTTAGTTGCAGTACATCTTGTAATATATAATTTCCAGAAAAAGCTAATGATATTGTAGTACATGCTATATATGACAGCATCATGAACATCATAGGGACTGACATGATCGTCCTGTTCTCTACTCTTCATTTGGTGGTCTGTAACATATCAAACAGTAAATCAGTTTTTGGATTATCAGTTGAAATGTAGATCTGTAAACATTGCAGTTGGTGCTTGCTTTCTGAGTTGTCTGTAATCTAGTTAAAGAAGTGTTTGATAGAGGTCCCCCAAGTTCGTGAAGTATTTCATAACACTTGGATACTTTACTTCATATCCATCATAGCAGATTCTGTCTGACAGTGATTTTCCACAGGGTATTTATCATTATCTTTAAGCTGACAAGGTTGGATAATAGTAGCGGTTCAGATGGGACAGAGTAGACCATTATGTATGCATTTCCATCATGTTTTTTCAACCTCTGTAGAGTTTCATGTTGCTGAGGTTAAACTGCTGTTAGTACCCAAACTAACTTAAAGTGCACCTGTGTACGTCTTTACCACTTTGATTGCGATGCAGAAAAATGTACAGAGTTATATTTTGGCTTGGGAAAGGTAATACAGAGCTTTCACTTTATTTTCTTGCAAAACATTCTTTCCATTTTACTTAATACAGACTTTACATCTGTGATAATGTATCTTCCGTAGATGCATTAAGCTGTTACTTTCCTGTGGTCTGTTACATGGTCTTGTGCTCAGACATTAGTGGATGGCATGTGCACTTTTACATAGTTTTACTTATTGTGGTAATCCATGACTTTACATACTTTATATTTGCTTTTCTCTGTAGGTTTAAGTACTGTAACTTTGTTTAAATGTATGACAACTTCATTGTCATAAACAATGTCTGTGTTATTCTGTGTATTCGTGTCTTACTGGTTTCTCTCCATATGCTTCTTTTAGTTCTCATGGTAACCAAACTTAGTGGTCTTCCCATTTCATATAGCGCAGGCATCCTTTAAGAAATCTGTTTTTTGAAAGTATGAAGAGGATGTGTAGGAGAAATTTATCAGTCATTGTTTTAGTCTTCATAAACAAGTCATTTTTATGGTGTTTTTTTTCTGTTTAGAAATAAGTCACCATTTATGTTTAGTGGCTTCCCTGCTTGCTTGATGGGTTGCTGTATGCAATTCAGCATTTCCCAAGTATTTTTCTTTGTACCCTCAATAATCTGAGGTACCTGGGATGGGCAGAGGCTGTTCACATCAATACAGGATTGTATGATTCTGCCAAAATCTACCTTTCCTACTTGTTTGAGTGCTTTCAACATGATCCAACTCTATAATGTGCTGCAAGATACTTCTCAAAAGCTTCCCTGTGTTCTCAGTTGTTTTCTGTATGCATGTTGTATGACAGAAGCTTCATACAATCAGGAAAACGTTGAAACTGTTTTATGTATGGGCATGTTTATGCATGATTCTGTAAGTTGGAGCTCAGTAACATACTTTCTTGGAAGCTTGGGGCTGCTTTACAAAATTGTTTACTGTGGTCAGTAGAGGTATCTTTAACCTGTTCCTTACATTATTTTTGCAAGTTTTATCTAGATTTTTAGCAATACTTTTTCAAAGCTATTTTGAATTAGTTTTTTCTTGGTGTCTTATTTCATATAGGAGATCCTCATAAAAATTCTGTAAGCTATTTTGTATTGTTTAGCTACGCCGTAACAGCTTCATGTGAAGGTGATGATAGTTGCAAAACCAGGTGTTTGCGATTACCCGAGCTTCAAAAATGATTGAGAGTTGATATAATGGTATAGTTTTTAGTAACTCTTATTGCCCTGGTGGAGCAGGGGATTTTGTCTTAGTAGCATGAATCTGAAGTTCTCAGGTTGATCCTTCTGTATGGGTAGAAACGATTCCAGTATGTGTTTAATGGGTTTTCTGGATCCAAGCAATGTAGTGGGGTTACACCTTAATTTTGTGTTGTCTTACATGGACAGATTTCTCGTTTCATTTCTTTTATGCACAGTAGATACATATATAGCTAACATTGTCTCCTTGTGACTATTAATTGAGTTACTGTTCTTTCCCATTAACAGTTGAAATGGGTGCATTTTTCTGCCAGAGATCATAGGATTTGCTGTAATAATCTATATAAATATGTATCCTTTTCAGAGCTCTAGACAACTTGCATCACGATTTCATGAACAGTTTGTTGTACGTGAAGACCTAATGGGTTTGGCCATTGGCACTCATGGTGCTAATATTCAGCAAGCCAGGAAAGTCCCTGGAGTGACTGCTATTGATCTTGATGAAGATACTTGTACATTCCATATTTACGGAGAGGTAAGTTCCCTTCTTTACCCTTTCAGAAGAGATTACAATAGGAGAACTTACCTCATTTCTCTCATACACGTGTGTTTTAGGATCAAGATGCGGTGAAAAAGGCAAGAAGTTACCTTGAATTTGCTGAAGATGTCATACAAGTCCCAAGAAACTTAGTAGGTATGTCAATTCTGGTGGGTGTGATATTAAAGAAAAATGCCTTTAGAGAACACGTTTTTACTTTCAGAATTTAAAAAATACATATATATGAAGTTTTCTTTGAATAGTTCATAGGTGGTACAAAGCTTGGGGCTTTTTTTCTCAGCTGTGCCGAATTTTTCAGTTTACACGAAGGAATTACGTACTGGTTTGCGGTTCAGAAAGATCTTCAACTAGAAGCAGTATTCTTATACTTAAATATGAAGTAGTAAAAGTAGTTTCTAGATTGAGCCAAAGAATTAAATGATTTCCTCCAAAGATGTGGAGAGATTTGTTCAGCTGTACAACAGATGAGTCATTATTGCTCTGACTTGTATTTGTCTTTTCTCCTGTGCTTTTACTTCTAAAATATTGTTTATTTAGAAGCAGCAGTGTGGGATGAATTGAAGGCCTGGTTAAGGCACTCAAAGGTCAAGAAAACACTCAAAAGACAATTTAATGACTTCCATTATTAACTATGTCAAGACGGTCCACAAGAATGCATGCAGCACTCGGTGGTGTGTGTGTAAAATAATTTTAATGAGCTTCTGTTGCTTTAAAGCAACATTAAAAATACATAGCATAACCCAGTAGATAAGAGAAGGGAAAATACACACTGTAGTATACTTTGAAAGGTAGGTAATTTTAATAGTTCGTGAAGCAGTATGTGAAATCTGGTGTGGAAGCAATGTGGAGTTCTCCAGAGGTACAAGTACTTCAGAATGTGGCACCTCAGCTCCGGAGTTGATAAAAAAAAACAGTAGCTTTTAGGGTAAGTTCTCCATCCCACTCCCTCCCAATTCCACTGGTGGTAAGTGAAATGATAGGCTGCCATCATTATTTTAACTTGAAGTTTTATTTTCTTTGTTTCTATTCTATGTTTAGATCTCTGAACTTACTTCCGGTTTTGGCAGCTTTGCGTTTCTAGTCTGTTTCTTGGCCTAGATCCCTTCTAATATAAAATTAGATCAACCATATGTCATATCCAAAATAAGCAATGTTTGGTAATTTACTTTCTAACTTCTAATGATTGCCAGAAAACTAAATAATTTTCATTAAAAAGGCAAAAGGCCATTTTCCTAGATTTGCATTTTCTTTAGATAAAACAAAATTCAGCATCTGTTTTTCTACTTAATTATCCTTAAAAAAAAAAAAGGCAACATAAAAAATAATTCTTTTTAAAGGCTGCATGGAAATTAATAACCTGAAATGTAGGCATGCAGTCCATAATTTTTAATGAATGTTGTGTATGTTGATGAATTCTATCTAAAAATAAATACTAAATATTTTTTCATTGGTACAAGTAATTTACTGTTCATTTTTGTGTTTTGGTTTACTTGACTTTTTTATATACCACCAAAGCTTTTCAATATTTATTAGCAAGCTGTTTTTACATTTACTGAAGGTGTGTAAGGGAATAAAGTATTCCAAATAAGCTTTAGAATCTCTGAGTAGGCCTTTGTGATCAAGGAAGAGTTTACTGTCCATCTCTTGTCAATTTTCTACAGATATGAGGGATTTAAAAGTTCATGGTAGAAAAATGGAAATGCAAAAGTGAAACTTCATTTAGGAAACTTTATTTAGCTTTGAATGATAGGTACAGTATCCCGTGCAACTAAAAGAGGGTTTTAATTTGCTCTCCAGGGATTAATTGTACCAACAAAACAGTAGCAGTCCTGTATTCAGTATTTTCTGCCCTTATTTAAGTAATGTGCCTGCATAAATGTTACATTCTAAGTTTTTCATCAGTTTTAAGATTCTGTATTCCTGTTCTGTGCAGATAACATCTTTGATATCACTCTACTAAGCTTTTCTTTATTCCTGTAATTGCAAGATACGGCCTTTCGTTATTCACCTCCCAAGCAGCTAATTTATCCTGTCTATTTTCAGACAAGTTAGTGTGTTCAGGTTGGACAGAACTAAACTTTCCATTGTTTCAAATGAGAATGTGGTTCTGAAGATAAATGTAGGCATTGCTGACATCAGAGTATAATTTGTTTTTAATCTGACTTTTTAATGAATTGTAACTTTTTTTCAACTATCTCTAAAGAAAAGCTCAGTTTCTAAGAGAATCTATAATATAGGAAAACCTTAGCTATTTTTTTTTAACAAACTAACTAATGATTTGGTTTTGTTCTCTACCTGAAAAGTGATGAAACATCAAATGTAGGTCATTGTAAAAGTTTAAAAAAATATGTAACCAACAAAGTTTATTCTTAAATGATTCTGAAGTTAATTTAAATATATCAAAGCAAAGCCAAATAAGCATGCAAGACAGTGAATAGATATGTAGCCAAGATCATAGAATAGCTTGGCTTGGAAGGGATCTTATGGATCCAGTTCCACCAACCCCCTTGCCATGGGCAGGGATGGCACCCACCTGACCGGGCTGCCCAAAGCACCAGCCATCCTGGCCTTGAACGCCTCCAGGGATGGAGCGTCCACAACTTCTCTGGGCAGCCTGTTCAGTGCCTCACCACCCTCTTGAGTTAAGAATTTCCTCCTAACTTCTAATCTAAATCTTTCTTTTAGTTAAAACTAAACTTTTTAGTTAAAACTATTTCCCCTTCCTGATAGTCCTAACACTACCAGTCTGTGTAAAAAGTCACTATATGTTTTTTTATAAGCCCCACTTTAAATACTGAAAGGCCACAATGAGATTTCCCTGGAGCCATCCCTTCTCCAGGCTGAACACACCCAACTCTCTCAGCCGTTCTTCATAGGAGAGGTGCCCCAGCACTCTGATCAGCTTCGTGGCCATTCTCTGGACTCACTCGAACAGCCCCACATCCTTGTGCTTGGGGCTGCAGACCTGGATGCAGTGCTCCAGGTGGGGCCTCATGAGGGCAGAGCAGAGGAGGACAATCCCTTCCCTCGACCTGCTGGCCATGCCTCTGTTGATGCAGCCCAGGATGCAGTTGGCCTTTTGGGCTGTAAGCACCCACTGCTGGCTCATGTTGAGCTTTTCATCCACCAGAGCTCCCAAGTTCTTCTCTGCAGGGCTGTTCTCAGTGAGTTCTTCTCCCAGTCTGGGATTGCCCTGACCCAGGTAGCAGCACTTTGCTCTTGGACTTGTGGCATCCCTTCATTCTGGTGTGTCAGCTACACCACTCAGCTTGGTGTTATCTGCGAACTTGCTGAGGATATGCTTGATCCCACTGTCTGTGTTGATAAAGATATTAAGCAGCACTGGTCCAAAGATGGACACCATTTGTCACCAGCCTCCACCTGGAGCAACTCTCTGGGTGTGGCCATCCTGGCAATTCCTTATCGACCAGATAGTCCACCCTTCTTACCTCTCCAATTTAGAGATAAGTATGTTGTGTGAGACTGTCAAGGACCTTACAGAAGTCCAGGTAGATGACACTGGTTGGTCTTTCCTTGTTGACTGTTAGATTTACTCCATCATAGAAGACCACTGGAAGGCATGATTTGCCCCTGGTGAAGCTGTGCTGGCTGTCTCAGATCACCTTCTTGCCTTAACTTTGCTTCCAGGAGGATCTGTTCCACGATCTTCCCGGGCATAGAGGTGTGAGGCTCACCAGTCTGGAGTTCCCCACGTCTTCCATTCTACCCTTTTTCAAAACAAGATTGATGATGTAATACAGAAGTGCAGAATTGTGATTCATTTCCTTTGTTCTCTGTAGAAGCTTTGAAAAGGAAGGGAACTATACTCAGTTATGAACCTTCATAATAAAGTACCTCTCTTCCTGTACGCTGCAGTGATTGCTTTGGAACATTACCAAAGTTAACGTCCCAGGCTGCCTTAGACATTATAGTTCATGGCTCATTGACTAAATCTTTGTTGTGGAGTATTATGTCATTTTGACAAGTTCTTGCACTGTTACTGAATGGTTGTGTTTAACTAGAATATAGTAATGCTCTCAGGTTTTAGGGGAAAAACCCTGAAAATGGAATCTTTTGTATGTTCTTTCTGTAGGAAAAGTAATAGGAAAAAATGGAAAGCTGATTCAGGAGATAGTGGACAAATCTGGTGTTGTAAGAGTGAGAATTGAGGCTGAAAATGATAAAAATATTCCACAAGAAGAGGTATGTTTTTAGTTCATGTGATTTCTATATATGTTAACTGATGGTTATATTCTACCCAGTGCTAAAATTAAATTTTCTTTGTATTTTTGTAGTAGTAAGTGAGATGAAACTCTGATTACTGTTCTTTTTCCTTACGGAACTGTGTTTCCCTGTTAATGTTAAAGGGGCATTTCTATGTAAATTGGACTTTATTTTTGTTTTAAAAAAATGCTCTATGAAACTTTGTGATGCACCTTCTTAGAGACTTCACGTTATTCCTGTTAGAAGCAGTGATATTGTTTCTCGGCATATGCTAAGCTGTAAATTATATGCAAATCTTCCTGTTCCCATTCATTAATTTGCCTTGAGACCGATTTCTTGGGGTTTTACCTGCTTTCAATTTTACTAGTAAGTTCTTACAGTGTAAGGAAAAGTTTGTGTTCTGTGTGTAAACCCCTAAACCCTTTTTTTAAATGTAATCTGAATTCACAGTAGCATGTGATTTGTAATTTAAAGGAAAATCAACCATGAATGATGTGAAATGCCATTTATGCACAGAAAGGCTATCCAAAATTGTATGTTTTTTTCCTACCTACCAGCCTTGTAGAAGGCTTTAATGAAGTCTTGAACTTTTTAATTTGACAACTTAAGGCACTTCTGTGTGGGGTTATGTTGTGGGGGAAAGGTTGCAGGTTTGAAAGTAAAGCTTTAAGAAAAAAGGTTTCAACATCTCAATTTAGGAGAAGTCCCTGCACTTCAAATGTGAAATGTGCTTGATCAAACTCTTACCCGAAAATCTGAATATGTACTCATTAAATAACCCTTGAATAAGACATGAAATAGATTTCTAGAACACTTATGTTCTTGCTTCAGTAGTTTTTCATCTTTTGTATCATCATGATTAAATTATTACAGAAGACCCACAGTTCAATTTTTCTGTAAAAAGTGGCTAAGCAATTAAGGTTTTTTTACTTCATTACTACTTTTACATCTATTTGAAAAGGTAAGAAAGTCAACTCTATGTAGATTTAAAAGATTCTCTTCTATTTCAAATACTATTTCTAACAAACTTACAACTCTAAAATTCTTGAGCTGTCTTAATAAGCAAGAGGGTGCTGCTTTTGCTGCAGGCTAAAAGTTTCAAAGTTTTTGATGTTGCCAACAGAAGAAAATTTGGGTAAAAGAGTAAGTCATGCTATAGTTGGATTTCAGCTATTTTCATTCTTGTGTCTCGAAAAAACTGATTTGATGTCCAAAATGCATCTTTTAAAGATGAACTGAAAACCTTTTCACCTGCCAAGCTCTGCATTCCTATTTCTGTTTTTCCTGATACTGACATTGTTAACCCTGGCATTCCTTATGCTGCTTTAGGTGTTAGTTGTGTCATGTTCTACACCAGGAAAAATAGAAAAAAAAATGATGTCAAAACCTGGCAGGTAAAAGTTAGTACCTGTAAGCTTATTTCTGTCATATTTGAAATGAATGTCTAGGAATCTTCCATTGTGTAGACACATATATTGCAGACTTATTTTGTGAAGAACAGTGGGTCACTTTTAATTACAGTATTGGGTTCTTTCTGTTAAGACAGATCTCAAAATCCTGCCCGTAAAATTTGGGTGTGGTTCCATACCTCCCATGATTTTATGAGGTCTTCAGGCTTTTCATCTTTTAAAATAGGTTTTATTTCTTATAGTAGCATATGTTATTTCTAAATTTCTGAGCAGATGACTTATGGGCATAAGAATTGACTACTGAAACTAAGTTGAAGATTGGTGCTTTTGCTTTGAAGGCAGAAATAAGCCTCAATAAATAAGCACTTTGGAGTTTTTGTAGGGCTAACAATCCTTTACATTGCTACTAGCTCAAATTCTTAAGAGTTGGCATTTTTATACTTAGAGTTCCCCACTAAAAGCGACAAGCATATACCTCTTCTTTACATGCTATTTTAAGTCAGTTGTCTTTTAAAAATTGATACTATATACTAGTTAATGCCAGTTCAGTGTAAAAGTAATTACTCTTCATCAAGTCGTATTAAATATTTATGAAACAAAATTACCTCGATAATAAGATAGTCCATTTCAGTGGACCACACCAGTGGCTAAAAGATTTCTGAAGCTCAAAGCCTAGAGTTAGTGTAGCGTTTTCTTAGCATTAAAGGGTTGCTGGGGGCAGGTAGAGGGACACAAAAAAAATCTTTTGGATGCAATCCTGTAAAGAGTGTGTGTGCAGTGAGAGTTAAGGGTGTTCAGAACTCATGATGAGATACTGTGAGATACCCTACTATAGTAACTTAAAAAAAATAAAATGTTATCAGTTCAGTTAGGGATAGTCAAGCTCTGTCTACTCAGGCATGGGTTTCAGCAACTGAGTGTTTACAAGATTTAGGTTGACCTCTGCAGTTTATAGTGAAGCTCATACTGCTGTGGTGAGGCTTCAGCTGGTACAAAATTCAGGTAGTTTAGTCATTAGGTTTGTGTGGGCAATAGTTCTACATTTTGAATTGATGCTTAGCCCAGTTTTAGCCTGGAGTTAACCTTGTGGAAATTATTTTTGAATCTGCTAAAATTTAGCTGTTTTCAGCACTTGGGACTCTTTTAGGTAGATTTCTTAAACCACTTTTCACCACCTAAGTTAGTCTTTAGGTATTTTATCTGTAAGGGTCATAATTTCAGGTGTTAGAACTTGATCAACTCCAGGCCTACATTTCACAGGTAACTAATGAATCACTTAATGTTTGAAAGGTAATGGGTTTGTAAGCTAGTAATTGTTGCCTGATGTGCTAACTTATGTGCCTTTTACCATTTGAGGGATCCTTAAGGAAGAGCAAGCTTTGCTGTGTGACAGTGTTAATTTGACTTTAAAAAAAAAAAAAAAAAAAGAAAGATTCAAGAAAGGCTTCTTTACTGACCTGCAGCATAAAAGTAGCTGGTGTGAGAGAGCAGACATAATCAGCAAAGGTGGTATTAGTTCTGAAGGAAGGGAGGAAACCTGAAGGGTTTTGTATGTTTTACTCGGTGGGAATAATAAATGTTGATATTGATGTCTAAATTTTCTTAAGATTGTCTTTTTTGCATAGAAGGATAATTCCCTTTAGTCAGCATCAAAAATTAAATATAGTATTGTTTCATTTTTGAATCTGTGCTTATGCATGTTGTAAAAATTATTTTTAAAATTTATGGTAATGTTTGGCTCTCTTCAGTATGTGATGCCTACTCAGTAATCATAGATTTAATGTTACTATGTTGTAGGGAATGGTACCATTCGTATTTGTGGGAACCAAGGATAGCATCACTAATGCAACTGTTCTTCTGGATTATCATCTTAATTATTTAAAGGTGAGGAGAATGATGCTACTCTACCACTGAAATTTGTCTAACAATACCTAATAAGGTAGCAACAGGATGATGAACAAAATCTTTTCAGGCCCAAAAAGCTGTTGAAAAGTGGCTGTTACACAATCTACATTAAAGGCTTCTTGTAAAAGTTTTATTTCTTTGATTCTTAAATGGCTTCTAACATGGGAGTGGAAAGTGCTCGATAGCCCTGAATTTTTTCTTAGATTCTTCAATTCATAGTTAATTCAGTCAATTTTTTTTCTTTTTGCTGTACTAACCTTTCTGAACAGAAGGTCATATAACAGCACTCACCTGTCTGTGTAACAGCTGGAGAGCTTGCTAACTGTGCAACAGTTTTAAACATTTAAAGGGTTCTTTGGTAAACAAACTATTCTCAAAGCTGACTTACGAAGTATTAAATACATTATCAACAGCAATACATTAGTTTCATTTTTTTTTGAGAAATGCGTGTCTGTACATTCACGTATGGTTACATCACCTGCAATGCTTGTGTTTGAGTAGGAAGTGGACCAGCTACGTTTGGAAAGACTGCAAATAGATGAGCAGCTTCGACAGATCGGAGCTACTTCTAGGCCCCCACCAAATCGTACAGATAAAGAAAAAGGATATATGACTGATGATGGTCCAGGACTTGGGCGAGGTAGTCGACCTTACAGAAACAGAGGGCATAGCAGACGTGGTCCAGGCTACGCTTCGGGTAGGTAACGAGAAGCATGCTTACAGCTTTAATAGAAGCCTATTGGATGCTGCTTTGGTCTCTTGCTTTCTTGAATGCCATTCTGTTAGTAGTTAATATTTAAGGCTTGGCTGTTGCAGGAACTTGGAAACAGATGTTCAAATAGAAATTCAATTAAGTACTAATATTTGGAGATTATTTAGAGCTTTATGCTGTAGAAAATACTCTGAATGAAAATAGGTCAGATTACATTAGCACTATTTTACTGCAGCTTCTGTCTCTTAACACTGTAGCCTGTCTTCTAGATCACGAACTACTAAGGGCAAGGATTGGTAATTTATCTGTATTTTGAATGACTCTTAATAAAACCTGGTTTTCATTTGACCCTGTAAGAGGCTATTTTAGTATAAGTACTTGCAAGTGAAAGTAGGATGTTTACATCCTGAAGTTGAACTTGGGTGCTTTTGCTAGAAGAGCACAGTCAATGACAGTGTGTTCTTCTTTTAAATCTTGTATAATTTATTTATGAATAGCTCTAAGGAGCATGCTTCTTTAGAGCAATCTGTTACCTCAGTATCCAGAGTATAGGCCGGCTGATGTTTGCACTTATTGCAGTGTCTGTGTGAGCTCCATGACATGCATATGATGTAATAAATAATTAGTGTTATTCTGGTGAAGCCCTTTATGATTTTTAAGATACAGGTTCACCTGCATAGGAGAATGAAAATTTGGAAAAAGAATGAACTTCTATCAGTAAAAGTGATCTGTTAACTTCAAAAATTATGTAACAGACAGTTATTTTGAATCTGATACGTTTATAGTGTTCTGACTTCAGTTTCTGCTTCTGTAGTGTGTGTTACAGGCTGTTTCGTGGTGGGTTGAGGGGAGGCAGGACAAGTTAAATTCAGGAATTTCAGGTTTTTTAAGTATGATTAGATGTGATTTTCTGCATTGTGAAAACTGCATTTGCACAATAAATTCAATAATGGATAGTAATAATACTAACTATAAAAGTGTGGCAGACAATTTAACCTGAAACATACTTCTAACTCACAATGTCTATACTGACTTTTTTGAAGAAATAATGCATATTACAAGCATCTCTGTATTATGTATGGAGGCAAAAATTTCAAAACCATTTTAAAAAGAGAAATCTCTAAGTGTACAGATGTATTTTCCGTTCTACTGTAATATTTTCATGCTTAGCTACACTGGCACGTTTTGGATTTTTTTATCCTCTTGATAGGAACTAATTCTGAAGCATCAAATGCTTCTGAAACAGAATCTGATCACAGAGATGAACTTAGCGATTGGTCGTTAGCCCCAGCAGAAGAGGAGCGAGACAACTACCTACGTAGAGGAGATGGACGAAGACGTGGAGGTGGTGCAAGAGGGCAAGGAGGACGGGGTCGTGGAGGATTCAAAGGTAAATCTAGATTTCTTTTTGAAGAAGAGAAGGTTAGCAGTGTTATCCTTAAGCAAACTCAGTTTCCTCAGCCTCTTGTCTTAAAACATGCTTTAGCCTCCTAGCCATCATGGAAAGATCTGTAAATATGTTGAAGCTTACCAAAGTTGACTGCGCTTTTCTATCCTGTGGTTGATTGTTTTGAGAGACATTTGTCTCCTGAGGGCAACTAAGAAAAGTCTTTCTTAAACTGTACTGATTTTAAATGGTGGTTTTGTGTACTGTGATTTACTGCATGAGAAGACTTTCTATGATGGTACTTGGGCCATAGTTTGAACATTGTTGTTATGTTATCAAGGGTATGTGTTTAACGTCCCTTAGGATGAAAATTTTCAAGTAATTAACTGTTAGGCTTTAGCACTTCTTGAATACAAGAAAATTCTGTTTTCTTACTCGAAAAACCTGGTTGATTAATTCTTTCTGCAGGAAACGATGAACAGTCACGAACAGATAACCGTCAGCGTAATTCAAGAGATGCAAAAGGGAGAACAGCAGATGGATCTCTTCAGGTAATTTTTCCTCTTCTTAGAACTCTGCACTGCTTAAAGATGCATAAGTGTTAGTGTATATGTACTAACATGGGATTCTTCAAAACTGCAGCTGACAAAGTAGCCTTCTGGTTCCTTGTTATCTAATCATGTTTAGAGGAATATCAGAGTTCTGTATTGTTTTGTATTCCACACACAGGACTTGGTATCTCAAGTTGTGTAAAGATACAGCTTCCTAATGCTGTTGTTTTGCTGACAGTTTTTAAAAGTTCAGAGTAGTGCAATTTGATTTTAATTTTTGAAGTGAATTGAGATGACAAACTTGACTTCTGAAGCTAGCTCAGACTTACCCCAGCTCAAATTACAGTATAGAGCTTATTTCTGGAACTTAGCTTTCCCTTGAGTTAGAACACTGATCATGAGTCCTAAGGTTTTATTAGACAGCTGTATTTGATTCTTTGTTGTAATTAGTTTTTTTTATTCTTCATTTTCACTTTTCACAGCATTTTCTGCTCGTTTTTCCTTTCAAAATGAGGGAGCAGAAAGAGTACTTAATGCTTTAAGTAAAAGGGGTGGGAGTGCTTGTATTGTATCCAAACTCTCCAGAGTGAAGAAGTTTACACTTTTAAATGCACCTTTATTACTAAATGTTTGCAATTCAAAGCTGTGCAATCTAGAAAGCAAGTTAGGAATATAAATGGAGAAACAGTTCAATATTGATCTTACAGATTTTTATAAAGATACTGATTTTTTCAACTTTTCAAGTGTTTTCTGGGGTGAAGTTATTCATGATGACATTTTTAATATATATATGTTAAGGTTTCCCAAATGGAAATGCTTTGTGTTAATGTGCAGACCTACCACTTCTTACCACATAGGATGAGCTATGTTAGGAAGGAGGAATAACGAGCCAGCTGTAGCTGCCACCTTCTATATGGTGTTACAAGGAGTCACGGGTCTGGAGGGAGATTCAGCTGATTCTCAGTGTCTTGGTTTAGGCTGTGTTTTTGTTTTTGTTTTTTTTTTTTTTAAAAAAAAAAAAAAGGAAAAATTTGGAGCATGTGACCAAATGCTTTGTTTTTAAAGTGGGAGTGCTAAACTCGAGGATGTAAATACAGATCCGAAATGCAAACAAGTAGCACGCAAAATAAAAATATATGCACATACATGGCCACACAACTTTTACAGTTAATGAGCAATTCACTTGCAAAATTTGAAGTAAAGGAGGATGAAGCAGATAAAGAAGAATGTTGATGTTAGAGGGGAAAAAAAAAGTCATGATACCAAAGTCATGATTTTTGTCTGTTACTCCGAGATTTGGATGATACTTTTTCTATATTTAAATAAGTACTTATATATGATTGAAACCTGACTGATCAAATTGTAATAAATTTTTGTAATATCTCAAGGAATAAGCCAGAAATGAGTTTAAGAGTTTACCCCCTACAAGCATAAAAATCTTGCTTTCAAAATGTTCACTTGAGTATTTTTAGTGCCATTTATAAAAGCCATGTAGATTTTTGGTGAATTAAATTAAATCTTTTTTGGATTCCCTAGGTGGATGAGACAATTTTGGGGGTGTTAGTATCATTTCATGATTTTTGTTTATTTTTTCAAAAATAAATATTTCCATACAACAACTAGAAACTTGAAGTGAAATGATGTTTCAGAGTTCCATGTACTCTAAGTTCTTCAACTTGCTCTTGCACAAATATAGTATGTTTTTGCTTTGGTGAGGGAGCAGAGCTTTCCAAGACTAGGCAGACTGGAGTGTTTGTGGGGATTTGTTCTTTTATGGCCAAAAGTATGTGGCATTTTCAAACAGAAAAAGAATCAGCCATGCTCCATTTTATCTAGTTACCTTTAACAGAGCCTTAAGGGTGTGTTACTATTTTGTGTCTTCTGACGATTTAATAAACAGCACTCCTCCCAGGCTGCAAAGGTAATGAATGCGTAAGGGGTGGATAAAAGGAGGAGAATGCTTTATATAACTCTGACTTGTTCCAGATCAGAATTGACTGCAATAATGAAAGGAGTGTCCACACTAAAACATTACAGAATACCTCCAATGAAGGTAGTCGGCTGCGCACGGGTAAAGAACGTAATCAGAAGAAAGAGAAAGCGGACAGCGCAGATGGTCAACAGCCGTTGGTGAACGGAGTACCCTAAACTGCATAATTCTAAAGTCATATTTCCTATACTGTTTCAGTAATTCCTATTCCACATTAGAGAAACTTGTTAGGCCAAAGACAAATAGTAGGCAAGATGGCGCAGGGCATGAAATGAACATATGTTCTCTGTTAGCCTTTTTTAACATCAACAGTATGCAGTTGTTTTCAGAATAAGAAGTTATTCAAATATTTGCATAAAAATATCTGAATTTCCGAAAATCGCTTTCAAGTACATATTGCACTTCAAACAATGAAAGAATCTTTTTGTTTGTTTTAAAAATACTGAGCTGTGCATTGGTAAACTTTCTGTTCAGTTGTACCATTTTAACGCATCGGGTCAAAATCACTGCTCAATTTCAATTTTCAGAATAAATAGTGTTTGCAGTAATCAAATTGGCTTCTGTTTTCAATCTAACTTACAAGTTCTTCATGAAATGCTATGTCGTTTTATGTCCTGTGTCAGTTCACATTCTGGTCCACCTTTTTCAGTATTTTAGTGGACCCTGAAAAATGTGTGATGTAACAATTGTCATTTTCATTAGCAAAAAAGTTGTATGATCTGTGCCTTTTTTATATCTTGGCAGGTAGGAATATTATATTTGGATGCAGAAATCAGGGAAGATGAGTTGGTAACACTAAATGTAAAATATATGTAGCAATCCTTGTCAGACGTTAGTACTTTATAGACAAGTGCATGCTTTCCATAATTTTTTCCTTACATAAGCATTGGGTTAGGCAGTTATAAGAATAGGAAATTTTGCACTGAAGATTTGGCAAATAGTGTTATTGAAAAAGGGGTGTAACTTTTTTCTTTGTAGGCAGTACAGATTTTTTTTTAAAAAAAGAAAAAAAAAAAAACCTTTCCATTGTGGAAAACTAAAAAACTCGTTGTTACTGAGGGAACAAATGTAACTCGTTCACAAGCTAGTAATGTGTGCCTGCTATTTGGCCGGATGACCAGTCTAAAGCGCTAATGTTCTTCATCGTCCCAAAAGTTTTTGAATTTCTGTTTTAATCTGGGGACTATTTCAGGAGAGTTAGGAAGAAAATCACCACTCTGAAAAGTTCAGGTGTAGTAACTGGAGATACTGGGGGTAGAACAAATCCATCTTATTTTGAGGTACAAGGTCTGAATTACCAGCCCATTGGAAGGCAATGCAGAATTTGATCTAAAGTACAGTCATACACCAGGGAAGGGTGGGAAGCAGTGGGAGGAGCTGTGCTTTCTTTTATTTTTGGTCGTGCATTAAACTCACTGGGCAAAGCTGTATAAGGACCTACATTTTAATCCATTTTATTCAAATTACTCCAGGAGAGCCACTGATTGTGTACAGAATTGTACAAACTTGACCTTGCCTCTGATGTATTTTGTGAGTTTTGTTTCTTTTGCTTTCTTCATTCTTTGTTTTCCTTGCATACAGGTGAGCATACTAAAAATGGCAACAAACTGCACATGATTTAACAAATATAAAAATGTCTTAAAAAGTATTGCCAAACATTAATGTTGATTTCTAGTTATTTATTTTGGGAATGTATAGTATTTGAAAACAGAAATTGGTACCTTGCACACATCATCTGTAAGCTGTTTGGTTTAAAATACTGTAGATAATTAACCAAGGTAGACTGACCTTGTAATGTAACTGCTCTTGGGCAATATTCTCTGTACATATTAGCTACAACAGATTGGATTTTATGTTGACATTTGTTTGGTTATAGTGCAATATATTTTGTATGCAAGCAGTTTCAATAAAGTTTGATCTTCCTCTGCTAACTGATGTTGATGCAATCCTTATAAATGATTGCTTTAAAAATCTCAAAACAAGTAGAGAAAATATTTCTGTTTAGACTTTAACTGTAGTCATTGTTACTTATACGTTCTAGAAAACTTCTTAAAATATTACCAATTTTCAAAAAATATGGCACATAATGCTCAAGAAACAATCTCATTATGAAATGGTACAATACCTGTTGAGTTGTCACATTATATGCACTATATTTCTTACATTCAGTGGTTGAGTTTACTAAGGTGCTAACTAGGTTAAATGTGAAATTACTAAACTACTACAGTCTTGACTAATTAGTTGCATTCCATTCTCAAGTGCATTTTGGGATTATGACCTTTCAGTATTTGTGTGCTTAACATGTATCCCTTTCAATTCAAATTCCAGTGTTTTTTAAATGTTATTAAATTTCAACAAATTAAACTGTGAATCTAAATGTACAGTTTTATTTTGAAAAATCATGTGTTGTTTAAAAAACTTGAAAGTGCAACCGATGTCTGATGCTTGAGTTCAGGTCCGTCCTATTGGTAACTTATAAAGTATGGTCTAATGAATTAAAGTTATTTTAAAAAATAAAGTTCTTTAAAAAGAATGAGAGGTATTTGTGAATGATGCCAAAGGTTAAATTAAGTAGGGTTAACATCAAAGCCTATAAATTAACAGATGCTTATGAAAATAGAAAGTGTTTCTTTACTGAATGCATTTATGTTAATGATGGTAACTTTTCAGAGTTGGTATAAAATCTTGTCAAGAAAAGACCTCTATTTATATAGCTTGTTTGAAATGGTTTTTTGTTTGTTTTGTTTTTCTGATGATAAGCATTCATGAGTTCAGGAATCAAATCAGTTTAGTTCTTGTGTACAGAAACTTTTAATGGCCTAGCTATAAATAATATTTCTGCTATTTGCTGTCTCTAAAATCAAACACGTACAATGCTTGTTTCTTTCAACAAGCCAGAAACAAATTTAATAGTCCAAGTATGATATCGACTGTACACTATGCATTCTTTGTAGGAGTGCTTAATCAGAAAGATAACTTCCTGAGTTGAACTTTTTTTTCTTCAAACACTTCAGTATTGAATATTAAAAGGGAATAGATTAGCTTCCAGTGAATATTCCTCAGTCACTTCAAGAACCCTTCTTTATGGTTCTGGTAAGTGGCATCCTGTATTAATCTGCAAGATTTTTAATTTTTTTATCATCCTGTGTATTGTTGAAGACTTTCTCAAAACAGTAGCAGCTGTAATGGAAGACCAGCGTGTGTGTATTTTGATAGTGGTTCTATTACCTGATGTAGGTTTTTGCAGTAGCATGTAATGAACTTACCATCCACTTGAACATAACTGTACTTAAGTTTTCATCTTAAAAGATGCTGGTCAAACAGCCTTCTCTGGCTATATTCACATCCATGAAAATCACAATGGCTGGAAGAATTCTAATACCTTCAAGTTAATGCAATTTTATATGAAAGCTGACATGAGTTCTTCAGAGCTAAATGTTCTGAACAGATTCCAGTTTGATCTGCAGGATACTCCTTGCAAGAGTTTTGCTAGACTTAATTATTTGCAGTTTAGCTTTCATGTGACATTTTTATACTGTATTTACTGCTGAAAGGGTTAGACTTTACTGCATCAACTTTTGACTCCAGAAGTATTAGTCTTTCAGCAGCAGCCTGTGGATCTTGTGCCCACATCAGGGGACAGACCTTTTTCTGCTCCTAACAATCTTTTTTTATATGTATCCCTTGTCTGTCACTCCTGCTTGCATATTATGAAGACCATTGATCTTGAGCAGTTCCTGATGGCGATAATTGCTACTAAACTATGAGTATAAACTAGTTGTTACTGTTTTTTTTTTCCTTTTGTTTGCCTATTATAAAGAATTTCAAAAGTAGTAATTTGAGTGCTGTATGAAAATGCTTCATAAAAACAAAAAATAGATGAAAGCCTTATGTTTCTACCGAGGGTACAATACAACATGACTTTTTTTTTCCCTGAATAAAAAACTGATTTACAATAAAAGCAGTTAATTTAAACAAAAAGCATCCCATGGATGTAGTCTCTATAAATGATGAGGAACTTGACCATTGCAGAAATAGTATAATAAGGTTGGGGTCCTATGGCATGTTAGATGGCCTTTTTTTGGCTGGTGGATTTGGCTTGAGTCTTAGGTACAGACTACGGTTACAACAAGAAGAATCAACAGCCCTGAATTTAATAAGAACAAAAATCAATGAAGCAGTCAACATAAAATGTGTGGGCAATTTTCTCGGGTTCTAGCAGTCTGAATCAGAGTCTCATATTTGTACATCATAAATGCATCATATCATATATGTAGTGTTCCATGAAAGAAATCAATGCAGAAAATCACAATTGCATGTAGAATCAAATGCTTCAGAAAGTGAAGAATGTTTGTTCCCTATTAGATGTTTCAAAGTGTCTCCTCGTTTGTATTGGGAGTGATTGTGCGTAGTGTGTGCAGAATGAAAGAAACATAGGATGCTGTATGTTTATATTAGAAAGCTAATGCTGACTACAAATGCAGGTTTTAAAAAAATACCCTTTAAACTCATTACTCAATTAACTGAAATGCCAAAAAATGGTGGGTAAGATGGGATGATGGTCAACATTTACTTAGGTTTCTGTCTTTTTTTTTTTTTAATGTTCCTAACCTATTTGAAGAACACTTCATTAATAAAAGGAATGGACATTTCTAAGAAAAAAGAAGGTTGAGGTTAGACTGTACTTTTGCTTCAAACATAGAGAGACTTGATGAATTCATGGGAAAATCTTGTTATATAATGAGTTTATTTGAATTATTCAAATCTGATTTGGGCACTCTGCCCAAACTTTGTTTTGAGGAGTGTATTTTGATGGCTTGAGGTATGTATTAGTTGGTCTGCACTACTGTCTATTAGGCCATGTTCCTGCATTGCCTATTGGTAATAACACAGATGTGGCCTTAACTTAGTGAATTAAAGACTGAGACTTTTAACAGTTTTCTCAGTGGAAGGCTGACTCTTTGAAACTGCATATGCAACTTTTTTTCTGGTCCCTCACGCAGCAGGTAGATGCAGTTACACATCTGTTCTGAGCTACATCATAAGGGATGGGCAGCCCATTGTGATGAGCCTTGCTTCCATGCTGTCCTGCATAACATGCCTGGGGTTGCTGTACTCAGGGTAGCTGTGATCTGCCTGTTCCAACAGTAACAGAGAAGGTATGGAAAGAAGCATGTAAGGGGCAGGGATAGACTTTTTTGTATAGCTTCTTTGTTTCTCCTGTTCCCAGGAAATGTTTCACTCCTCCCAATTTGTCTGGAATGGCGTTAGATTTTTAATAGTGTCTTGAAAAATGTGATTCCTGCCTTCTTAGAGAAGTTTGTGCTTACCTGCCAAAGTGAAGTTTCTCCTTGGGACAGAGAATGTATTTGTATATTACTCCATGAAACAGGCACATTTGAATTGCAGGAAAGCTTTGCTCATTTAGCAGCAGGAGTGCAGAGAGAACAGATCCTTCAAAGGACAATACCTGTACAAAATACAATGTTTTCTCTGTACAACACTTAAGAAAACGGGGTTCTGCCCCTTTACCAATGCTAAGAAAATAATGTCTAGTTTAAGCTCTTAATATATGTTGTAATAATTGAAAAAGATCCTTTTAGAATAGAAGCAGCAGGCAAAGTGAAATATAGCATCTGGCAAAGCAGTTTTCAGGGGGTGGTTGGAGGTGTAAAACCCAACTTAAACCTGCTGTTAAATTGCTATGAATGACTCAGGGATTTTTAAAAGTATTTTTATCCATAATATCCTTTTTGGACCAACTTTTCAAAATGTTTTTTTATCCAAAGCATCTTTCTTTGACATTAGAAGGACCAAAGAACTCAGTAAACTAAAGTACAGTTCTATTGAAAACTTCCAAAAACTTTGAATTCTTCAGTCCTGATTCAGTCCACTATACCTGGATTAAAACACTCACTTAAAAGTGCTCCTTCAAGGTGTCAAGTATCCAGCTCTGGGACACTTAAGAGGTTGTATTTATATACTTCTTTGGCTAGTCTGTTAACAGGATGCATCCCTTTAAGCTCTCCTAAATTCCTCAAAAATAACGTTGCCAAAATGTTTTACTGGGTTTGGCTGCCTCCTTAATTAGGGGGAGGGGGAGCAGACCGTCTGCTCCGTGCAGCAATCTACTGTCATGTTTGTTCTAATCTATAAATACAAAGTTAAAGGAGCGATAGAAGTTTCTTCCCATACTCACACACCTTATCACTGTTGGTTTTATTACAGTAATGCTGCCAGAAGTAATTGGCGTTCATCTAGCACGGAACTATGTGATACTGATATTGCTTCATAGCATCAATTCAAGTGAGTTTTGCAAGGAGAAAATCATTTTCATAGGAGAAGCAAGTAATTTTCCTAGCAGGAATTAAAGTTACAAACTTTGTTGTCTTGCAGTGATTGAAAAATACTGAAAACATCAATTTTTTTCACTGGAGCAGGTGGGGAGACAGTGATGTAACTGCTAATGTGAGCTTTGCTGGTCACACTCCTGTTATGCGTTAATATGAGTACCTGTTTTGATGTGAATTTGGTTCAGCCTATTCAAATGCTTTTCTGGAGAGAAGACATAGCACTGAAAAACCAAGTTCTGTTCCAGGAGAAATAATGTATTTGTGCACTTGGAGTTCCTGTTGCTCCCAGGTGGAGCGTTGCCCAAAAAAATGAAGTTGCTTGAATACCCTACCTTTCGGTTAGGCTATGGTCTCACTCGTGTTCACACGGAACTATAAAATCATGAAATGTCATTTAATAAACTCTGACAAACACTGAAAGCTATTAAAGAGAGTTCCTTTGGCTAAGTTTCCCCTATAAGAAAAAGGCAAGAAAATAGGAATTCTGAGTTTTTTTTCTGCATTGTGGAAGGGTTGAATGCCAGGGAGTCCCACTGTGATTTGCACTTGTTCTTTAATGAAAAAGAGGTAGAGTGACACAACAAGGCTTACAGACGATACATTCTTGAGACTAGTGTAGATGAAAGACAATTGAGAAGTCCCACAGCAATAAATCACTCGTTTAGGAAAATTTTCCAGTAGTGTTGTATTCATGGATGTTTTGCTCCTTTCTGTGCACCCACCACTACCTGAAACAAGATACTGGGATAGATGCATGTTTGGTTGTACCTGACAAAGCTGCCATCTATAATGTGTTTCTTTTCCTGTGTTTTGGTTGGGATCTGATCTTGATCTAAAGGCCAGAAGTTCTGCTTGCATACATGAAAGAAATATATCTACAGCTGTAACACAGAATTTTCCCATAACCTGCACCTTCTATCTGAACAGTAGTGCTTTTTCTCTTGACAATTTCCGCATGAATTGATTCCTTAATTTAAATTTCACAGCTTTAGTTCTTTACTCATTGTGGTTCGTAAAGCAATTTGAAGTAATATAATTGACTACAACAAAAAGACATCTATGCTTAACCTTGCTAGCCATCAGTAGTCACAATTCATAATGACTATAAATGCCTTCATAATGAAAGATAATCAGTATGAAAATGTCATTCCATTTAATTAATTATGGATATTTTGATGGT